CCTGCACGGCTCGCCCTTCAAATCTCTGTGAAGAAGAGAGAAGTTTGTCCCCTGGGAACCCAAGGGAAGTACAAGCATTAGAACCAGAAGTTTCTAAGCAGCTGCTCTTTCTTAGGACAAACAGCAATGGGGCAGGACACAAGGAAACACTCCTCTCCAGTGAAAGCCTCTGCAGCCAGGAGCACGCCCTCTCTCGTCCTCCTCATCTCCAAGACAGGAGGTGCAGCTCAGGTCCTGGAACCCACCAGACAACTACCAAGTCCCACCTTCACGCAAAGGGATGGAAGCAGCATGGATGACAGCTGGACATGACTGAGTGCCAAATTTAGAAGATAACGTTGACAATAAAGCAACAGCCAGGCATTGCTTAACAAGAGCAATATGGTCAGAGAAATATATCATGAAGTGATTTCATTGTTATGTGAACATCATGGCACATACTTGCACAAACCTAGATGGAACAGGCTTAGGACAGACTATAGGTATGCAGTGTAGCTCAGGGCTCCTCAAACATTTCCCTCTTGTCACCCCCTTTTCATCCAAGAAACTTTTATGTGATCCCGGGTATAAGTGTATAGAATAGGTATGCACACCAAACATCTACTGGTAATAAAGCACAAAGAAATTTACTGCAAAACAGTTCTTTGGTATACATATAATTTTGTCATTATTAGAGATGAAAACAAATTTGCATACTAAAGACAAGGATGTTTTTATTTATTTTTACAAAAAACACTAGGTTGTGGCTGAATATTTGATAGTGCAGGATAGAGACTATCTTCAGTGTTATTTTCAGATTGGAGTTCAGATTTCAACTTCGCTCTTCTGATTTTATAATCATCAATGCTGAGAGCACCACTTTGCTTAAATATGTAATACAAAATAGAAGAAGAATATTTAGGGCTGTTTCAAAAATAGTTGGATTATCTATCCTAATCCCAAGTCAAAATTCATCAAACAATCTTTTCATGAAACTCAAGTCAGCACCGAAGACGCAATTTTTTTAAACTAAATAACTCTGACACAATGCTATCAAAAGATATACTCACATTCTGAAAGAAAGGAGGAAAATATTACAGGACTTTGTTTTTCATAACTAAACCATTATGATTCTAAGTGTACAGAAATTGTATGTACAATAAAACACTGCAGTCCATAACATACAACAGTCTTGACTGGGAGCTGAGGTATTTCCAGCTGCAGTAATTGCTATCTCATGGTGTAACTGCATGTTCGGTGGGAAGTGCCCAGGTATGTTCAAAACCAAGGCCGCAGCGAAGTTGTACCAGGCAATAAGGGCGAGCTCTCCAAACAACTCAGACTACTGACGCATTGGGTTTTGAGTTCAGTTTTGGTCATTGCACATTTGGAAACATTTTATTATTGCCAGGTCTTTTTACAACTCACACATATGTGGGATCACAGCCCAGTTTAAGAAGCTTTGATGTAGCCTATTATGTGCTTCATCTATACGACAGATCAATAAATAGATGGATAGATATATGATGCATACACAGATACATAGACACATGACAGATACATAGATATAAATATACTGGTACGTATAGGACGGCCTATTTCTTTTAGAGTCTTGATGAACCAAAGTAACGTGAGATTACATCAAACCCAAGGGAAAATTATGCAAACAAGAAACACAGTAACAAAGCAAGGTTTTTAAATTTTTGCTTTCAAAATTCAGCTAACTTCCGTATCATCATATATAAGATGTTATGGCATTTTCAAACAAAGGCAAGTTTATTTTACAGCAAACTTTTTTATAAATAACAGTATACGCTAAAGTAATAAAAGTATAATACAGAAGGGAGAGTGTGGTACAGTAAATATATAGACTAGTAATAAAGTCACTTATTACTTAGTGTGTACTGTGCATAAATACCTGTGCTGTAGTTACTGGCAGATAATAGGCTAGCCTACATCCCCATCACTAGAAACATGAGGAATGTGTTTTGTTACAACCTCAGACAACGACTATGTCTCTAGGCACTAGAAATTTTCCAGCTTGCTTATAACTTTATGGGACCTCTATCCTACAAGTGGTCCGTCACTTTACCGAGATATTTCTATGCAAGTCACACTCTAAATTTGGAGTGTTTCTTGTTATTTTAAATCTGAAATTTCTAAATTGTTGTGATTTTATTTAAATTAAATTAAGGTTTTGCTCAAAAATGGAGGTAGCCTCTAGCTTGCCAGACTCTAAGACAAGAGTGCAGATTCCATAGTTAGGTCAGAATAAAGATCTTTGAGGCCCGTTAATAAACATGGTAGCAGGAGGAAGGGGCTGGCTTGTTGGGGAAAGCACAGAAGCAAAAAGGCCAGGTGTGTCTGGGACATAGAAGAGATGGCTTTGATTGCAGCATAGATGTAGATGGTATGGAAAGAAGACTACTTGGATCTATAGGAGGATCACACACTTGGACTTTGCCCTGACGGTTGAAATGGAAGCAGATCTGAGCAGATAGAGTAGACCTCTGTCTAAATGCCTTCTCAGTAGCTTTTGGTTTTCTCTCCTGCTCTCCCTCCCCTTCCCTGATATATCCTAATGTCCTCAGCTACCTCAGTTTCTCCATGAGGTCTCCCCCTTAGTCCAAGAGCAGGTCATTGGAAAGTGGATGTAACTGGGTCAACTAGGCCAGCAATGGGATTAAGTAGGAAGAAGAGAGAGAGAAAAGAGCATCCCCTCTCTATCTTTCCCTGGGCTCCAGGCAAGGAGCAGTTCTGCAGGCCCGAGGAGCTGGACCATCATACTACAGCCATGACAGGAACAGGTCCAGGTGCCAGGCAACATCAAGATCCAGTACAGTAGCGTCTCTCAGAGCAATCAAAGTGACCTCTATTTCCAGAGCTTGCTCCAAATCAGTGTTCTCACTGCCATTCTAGAAACATTGTCAATGTCTGGATACATTCTAAGCCACCACAATTGGGAAGGAGATGCTATTGATATCTAGTAGGTAGATCCTAGGATGCTGCTAAGTATCTCACAATGCATAGGACAACTTCTTACAACAAAGAATCCAGCCCCAAAACATCAGTCATGCTCCAAAAGCCACACACACACACACACTTCCTGGACCTCTGACTGGTACACTCGGTGTAACCATCTTTTCTAGAGATAGCTCTGGGAGGGGATATCAAGCTGAGTTCCTGAGTGACACTTTGCAACATGGGGGTGAGGATACAGGGAAGGGAATGTGGCCATCAGCAAGAGGACTCTGTATCTCCCACCACTGAGCCCCTTCCAACAACAAGGGGGCTTGACAGGAGTTGCGAAGGGGATCTGCTCTCAGACAACCCTGCCTGTATTAGTTACTTTTCTTGTGTAAAAGACAAAATATCTGACAGAAGCAGTTTCGAGGAGGAAGGATTCCCTTTGCATGGCAGAGTTCGTGGTGGAAGGAATGGCTCCTGTCCCTGATGGTGGGAGCCTGAGGCAGCTTACTCATACCTCAGTGGTCAACCAGGAAGCAGAGCTGCTCCATAACCCTCAAGGCCCAGCTCTCAGTGATCCATTTCCTCCAACTAAGTCTCCCCCTTCTAAAGGCTCTTTAAACAGCACCCACCAACTGGGGACCAAGTGTTCTAATACATGAGCCTATAAGGAACATTTCACATTCATACCACAACACTGCCTCTTGAAGGACTTAGGCCATACTGAGGAGTTGGGGAGGAGCAGGGTGGTGAGTACATGTCCTTAGGTCTTCAAGGTTGCCTCCACAGCCTCCAAAACCCAAAAGGTTTGCATAATCCACAGTCCTTTTTCCCCAGTAAGTGTGCATGTGCGTGTGCGTGTGTGTGTTGACACACATGTAAACAGAGAACAGGACTCACTCTAGGAGTGAAACCTACCTTGAGAGTCAAGGAGGAAACCTACCTTGAGAGTCATCTGCCTCTATTTGTCCATCAAGAGACTCTGTCCCAACAACTCCAGCTCTACATTATTGGAAACCAATGACAGACACCGAGTAAGGAAGGAGGTGGTGGTGACCCAGTGGAGCAGCAGTTTTTACACAGACAAAACTGTGAGCCATAGGCATCTGTGGAAGAGTTTCAAACTCTAAGAGTGTGGCTATGCACCCAAGCTCCATCACTGACTTACCGTTCCACCTGTCTCTCCCCTCACCTTTAAAAATGAGTTAAGAATGACAGCTAACGTTTGGAGACCACTTAGTGTGTTCCAGACACCTCACATGCATGCCATTCTCACAAAATGACTGTGAGAATTTTTATTACCCCAATGATCCCCGTGAGAAGATGGAGGGGAAATGGCCTGTCTGGGGTCACATGGACAGCAAGTGGTGGCACTGGTACTGGAATACAGCCTGGGTGATACCGGCTGTTCACGCAGCAAGGCAGGGTCTGTAAACTGCAGTGTGGGGAAGGGTCCCAGGACCAGGCCTCTGAGCAGGTGCTATCTATTACCTATGGAAACACTAATTTGGGGAATGTCTCCTTATGGGGTTGGATCACAGTGCCAAAGGCTACCAGGCAGAAGCCCATGTAAACACTGCTTAGACCTAAAGCCAAATGCCCTGTCGCTGTTGGCTGGACAGACCAGGCCTAGCTAAAAATAGAAGGGGTTCTCAGGTCCAGCTCCCGAAGAGCAGCGGCCAGCTCCCTATCCCTGGCCTCTTCCTTTCTCTCTATTCTTTTCCCCTCGGGCAAGAGCCACTCTTCCAGAAGGAATGGAGTTTTTTAAAGACCTCTATTTCAGGCAAAAGAATATTGTTAGCTTGATACCCAGTGGACTTGACCCAAGTTCTGGAGCAGCCATGACTGGGGAGGTGAGGGGGAGTCACCATAAGCGCCTGAACTATAGAGAGATCTCTCAACTTCCAAAACCCATTCAAGGGATCAGAGGTCAAGGCTAAAACTCGGCCAATATCTACACGCCTTACAGTTCAGCCCCTAGTCCCTTGTCTTTCTATTCTGAACCAGCTCTCAGTATTGACCACACGGTGCAGTTTCAGCGTTGGCCAGGGGCTTCTCTTAGGACGTGGTGAAGATCGGTCAGCACGCCGCCCAGCCTGAAGGAGAGCAATCCTGGGGCCCAGGACTAGACCTTCCAGCGGCGGAAAGGGAGGCTCAAAAACCCGCGTCTTTGCAAAGTGCGGCCTGGGTGCAGGTCAGGGCCCTGCCGGGGATTTCCTTTCAAAGGTGACTTAGAGGCACTTCAGGAGGGTAGCGCCCTCCCGGGCGGGTACTAATGGCGAGTTTGGCAGAGTCAGCGAAACGCGCCTGCGGCTCCTGCGGCAGGGGAGCGCCCTCTCCCGCGCCCGCGCCTCTCCCGCGCCAGGCAGCGGCGCGCACCGGGCCATTTGCAGCGCAGGCAGCCTCAGGAGCAGCTGCGGCGCCCCGGCCCGGAGGGAGGCGACAGCATGGAGCTGAAGAAGGACAGCAACGCCGTGTCCATCGACATGCTGCTCATCGTGCACTCCGAAAAGCTGCGCGCGGCGCACGGCACGCACTTGGACCCGCAGGCGGACCCGGGCGCGCTGCTGCAAAACCGAGGAGGTAACGAGCGCCCGGTCCCGGGTCCCCCAGGATCCCGGGGCACCTCGGCCTCCTCGCCCCCCATCCCCAGCGTTCGCCCGCCGTGGGGCGCCTCGGATGCCTCCGAACAAGGCCAGTCAGCCCAACACTCTTCCCCCAAGGCTGCCTTTACCCGGGCGCGGCGGCACCCGCGTCCCTTGGCAACGGGCTGCGCAGTGCTTGTCCCAGGTTGACTTCCCATGCAGGCCTACGGGTGCTTCTGTCACCTCGAGAGCCCGTTTCCTCCCTGCTATTCCCTGAAGGGTGCAGAGCACGTTGGAAAAAGTCCTACAGGACGAGGCCAGGGCTGACCCACGTGTAGCAGAGGCCTGCTCTTCACCGCAGCACCCTGACCGTCACGGGGGACCCCAGAGGATCTGCATATTGAGTCCGAATTTGAGATAACTTACAACCTCAGTTTCCACTTTCTTAATCTCCTCTCCCAGTCCCCAACAGATGCAAGGCATGAAATGGTAAAGGCTCCCAGGCTGGGGGTGGATGGGGCTTGAACTACTGTTTGTACTTCAACTTACCTTCATTTCGACCTGTTCTACAGACTTGATAGGCAAGTGAAAACCGGAAAATGATGGGTTATAGTGGGATGGTGAGGGCAGAATCATTCTCTCTGTTCTCCATACATATAGTATGAATAGAGTATAAATGGTAAAAGAAAAAGTGGAGTTCAAGCAGCCCCTGAGAAGTGTGGAAACTTCAGGGTGCTGGTTTCTGAGGAAGTCTCTGAGGCTGACAGCCCATCTGTCCTCTAGGCTTGATGCTTGACAGCTATGCAGAGGAAAATGTCTTCTGCCTCCCACTTTCCTCCAGCTCTGGAGCTCCTGGAACTCCTACTGCAGCTCTGCCTTTGGCTCTTCTGTCCCCAGAGTCCCTGTACGCAATGAACACCCCCAGTCCACCTGCCCGGCTAGAGAAGTGGCTCTATAAACAGCCTTGACCCACCAGCCATACAGGTTGGAGCTGTGCAGCGGCTCCTCGGAAGCTGGAAGAGAAGCAGTTAGGGAAAGAAAGACTGGAAGGCTGAGAATGTTCACACTAGTTCTGGTTTGGGAGGGATTGGGGATTGGGGAGCTGTTGAGGTTAGTTGATTTTCTAGCTCTCAGTGCTGCTCCTGAGGGCAACGGCAAAGTTCTGCTCAGGGTCTTCATAGGAAATAGAAGAGAGCCTTTGCTTCTTGGAAAGGACATTGCTCCCATCACAAATAACACAGTCCAGGAAAATGCTCCCAGTGTGTGGTAGGTGAGGCCCCACTTCCAGATCAGCTCAGGAGGCCCCACCTCCCAGTCCCTTTGGATGGTATCTGTCCTAAAGACTCTGACATTGGAAAGGGCAAAGAACACAAAGAAGCCTGGGAAATGCTGGGCATCAGAACTGTGACTCCAGACCAGTGTACTTCGCACTTCAGTCCTGACTCAGGGAGAAAAGTGCCCTTACTTGAAAGGGATTGATGTTTTCACCATGAAGGTTTCTTGAACATGCTGAGGCAATAGAGGAGCCATGTGCCCTATTCAGAATCAGTTCTGTACCACAGTAGAGAAAAAGGGAAAGTATGTGGCCTCCAGGGTCTGCTGGGACCTCAGTCTACACTGGCCTGCAAACACACTCTTTGGGACACAGCCTAAGAAAGGAAAACCCTGAGCCAAACTACTTGTTCAGAGGCCTGTCCGGTCTGTACAAGACCGGTAAAGAGTCCCTGCCAGCTAGCTTCCAGATCTCTTCCTGTCCCCTCTGCAAGCCAGTTGCCCCTCTGAGGAGCGGCTCTTCTTCGCCTCTGTAAAGGAAGACCCAAGTCCCCTGAGAGAAGAAAACAAAGCTCAGTTACTGTCACAAGGCAGACGCCACCGTGGCCTTATAACAGAAAGGAGTCAGAGGGACAGAAAGACAAGGAGAGTTAGCAGAGATTTAGGCTGCAAGTCTTGGCAGAGGCTCTCTGTCCTTTGGTTTGGGACCCTGGCACTTTCACAGCTATTTCCTTAGGCCACACTCCTCACAAAGCACACTCTGGAGAGGAGTTCACATATCCCTGTGGCCATGGAGGAGATAGGCCAGCACTGCATGCTCTAAGTCTGAAAGAGCTTCAAGTCTAGCAACAGTCTAGCTTGCTCGTGCATTCCACCCTATTAGTGCATCATGGGTTCCAAATGGTAAGCTACAGACCTTGACTATATTACTGCAGAAAAAGAGGACGGCACATGAAACTAAGGAAGACTTCAGGGCTTCTGAGTGGGTGAAAGGTTGTAGAACCAGATTTGGGACTGAGCTTCCGTGAGCACTACCGTAAGTTGTGCTACAGACCTGGACTGAGGAAGACACCTCTGGGGCCACCAAGGTGTACTAGACACTCTTCCCACACTGGGAACTAGCTTTTATTGCAGTGGCTCCCACTGCCAGGACACGTGTCAGTTTGGTGCCAGAAACTTGACCTCACACCTACCACTTCCAGCCACTGTCAGGGAGCCAGTTCCCCTTCCCTTCCGCATCATCACCAGGATGGGACACAGGTGCGTCTGATGGGCCATGCCTAGACCATACATGCCCATAGTCTAATTGCAAGGGAGGCTGGTAAAGTGGTCAGCTGTCACTTCCCATTCCCAAAGGGATAAGTCTTTTTCTACCCTCCCTCACCCCATATCAAGACTCCCCAGGTATGGGATGCACCACATACAAAGATGGGCAGGCAAAATGGATAGTAATGTCCAAAATGGATAGTATGAAAGTAATGCTTTCGTAGTAGTTACATGCTGGAGTGTGGGAGTGGGAATTGGGCATCTGTAGAGCAAAACTTCCTGTGGAAAATCCTGGGGGCCACCATTGAAAACTATCATTCTACCATTCTAACAGTTTAAAAATATTTTTGACTTTGAGGATTGCATTCATTTCCTCAAATGCTTCTCATTCAAGGGCAGTCTTATCTTGGAACCTGAGAAAAGTGGGTTCCACCAGCCTTGCTTTAATGCAGATGGGTCTGCAGTCGGTGCAGTAGTGGATAACTCTTGCCCTGGGGCTCCATCCACAGAGAACCTCACATCAGTCCTTATTTCACAGGATTCCAAGGTGTCAGAAATGGAATCCGGAAATGGCAGGAATCAGAAGGAAGTGACTTTCATGGTAAATCTTTTTTCCTTTCTATTTTCTTTCCAATGTCTCTAATCCAATACCTGGGACAATAACTGGAAGGGTTGGGTTGCATTCACCGGGAAACTAGCCCTAACGTCTGATCACTGAACAAAAGTGGTCGCTGCTGACTCAGCCAGGCCTCTAGGCCCCTGAGTACCTGGGAAGTTTTTCCTGGCATTAAAGCCCCTGCTCTCTTGGAGGCTTCAGCTAGGGAGCAATACCATAAACTTGAGCACCCACTTGTTTACTGGCTGAGCTATAGGGGGTGGTGGGAATTAAGTGTGTTCCCATGGGAGGCAGAGCTGCTCTTATCACAAAAGCTACCCATCTTTCAGATTTTTTTTTTCTGAACAGTAAAGACAGGGTCTGCCTTGAAACAGCATTGCTTAAGGCCTGGGGCAGAGCCGGTGAAGGGTTCTGTAGGCTCCTGCTGGCCTGCACTCTGGAATACAGTAAGAAGTCAGCTTCTGGTTCCAGGCATCTTTCTTTCCTGTAGGCACTGAACCTCTCTGGAACACTGATAATGGGCCAACCGTGGTTGTCCTCATTCTGTGTCCCTCAGAGACTCATCAGTCCAGCATCTGGGCACATAGAATTCTAATAGGCATCAGACCTCCACTCCTAGAGCCTCGCTAGGGAGCTCCATCAGACCCCAGACTCGTAAGTCATGGAATCAGATGACTGACCCTCCACAAATGGGGAAACAATGCTACAACTGAGGAAGTGTGAGTCACTCTGCTCTCCTTTGGATGGTGGCAAAAAGGAAAAGGAATGTTCTAAAACTAAATCCATTCATTCATTCGTCATTCATTAACAACTTACTTTGTTCCAGGCACAAGTTTTCATGTTGGAGATGACACAGTGAAGAAGCCAGTCAAGAACCTTGTTCTCGTGACAAGGTTCAAATGACTGTGATCATGATAACACTGACTACAGCAGATTCTCTTCAAGATTTCCTGTGTCCCTTACCTTGCTCATGGGCAGGAGTCCCCCTCAAAACACACACACACATCCACTAGGAAGCCCATCTTTCTGTGTCCTGGCTATTGGGCACAGACCCATGCAGTGTCTTCCTTAACCTTGCTACTGGGGCCATCAGATGGTAAATATGCCAGCACTGGTTCAACTGAGGCAGATATGTCATAGCTAAGAAATTATGCTGAGGGCTGGTGAGAATTAGAATCAGACTCCAGAAACCTGCTAGCCACAAGAACAGCCGCTCAGCATGCATGCATGCTAGATGCAGGTATGAGTAGTTGAGTGGGCAAGGCAAACCACAGGTAAATGTAAAGAGACAGAATGTCCTTGAATATTGCCACTCCCTCTTGCCTTGCAAGAATCATCTAACAATCAATCATCTTAGGGCTTTTCAGGAAATACTGGAATCATTCTAGTTTTAGCATCTTCCAAGTTCCTGACTGGATGGGAGGTTAGTGGAAAAACACAACAAAACACAAGGTAAGGCAGTAACTATTATAAAACTATTATAAGATAGTTCTACTAGACTCAGTGGTTCTTAATACAAGGTATCAGTCCATAGAGTGTGATTTAAATAGTTCTTATAAGACCACCCAAGGCCTAAAGATTTGGCATAAATGCAGAGCTGGAGAGAGCATTTGCAGAGTCTCAAATCCAGAAAACATCATGGTTCTATCATTTCACAAACACAAGGAGTTCAGTGTAAGATATCATTTATTTAAAATGGCATGTGTGCATGTGTCAGGGAATTAGAATCAGAGCTTCTTCCTGTGTTTTCTGATACCAAGAATCAGGATACTGGTATTGAAACTGGCCTTTTCTCATACCTGCCTTGTTGGTACTCAAGTCCAATAACCAGCAGGCCGCCCAGCTCTGACAGCTGGGGAAATTTCATCTCAGAAGGAAGTGGCCAGTGACATGTGCTGATAGAGTGTGCACAAGTGTGACTGACTAAACATGGCATCGATCCAAAGGGGCACATTTGTCCCCCTGTTGTTACCCTGTACACTTCTTGGCCTTGGGTGTTGGCAAGAGGTAGGGTGGGGAGCTTGGAACGCTCCAAACTTTTGGAAGCAGCAGGTGTTTGGGCTGAGCCACCCTTCGCCATAGCTTGCCCAGCAACGGCTTCCCCTGCTGTGATTGGCTGCTTTCCTTGGTCCTGGCCGAAGTCTGCCTAGCAGCACAGTATCCAATGCCCTACAGCTAAAGAGAAACCAGTTGTGCAGTCCTGACTATAAATACCCCACAGAAGCTGTGCCAACCAATCACTCTCCTTGAGGATTCCCTTTCTAGATCCTGTTTCCTCCTGATAGAGGTGCGACCAGCTGTGCCCACAGAAGGCAGCTCCCTGTCCTCGCCTGAGTCTGGCCTGGAGCTCCAGTCCAGCATGCCACATCATCCCATGTTGGCACACAGTGACAGTAGACCTGGCCTCAGCTAATTAACCATGGCCTGTGGGCCTGGGCTGACTCAGCCTGTTTGTAGGGGAAGACTGGAGCACATAGGCTTCTCCAAAGCAAGACCCTGCTAGGTGGATCCCAAGTCTAGCTAGGCTCAGTGCCTCACCCACACACATGACTGGCTTCTGCTTAGGCCCAGGCACGGGAAGCACTGACTGGCCTATTTGGATGGCTAAACTACTCAGGCCAGCACCTCAGAGGTTTTACGCTGAGGCCCTAGTCACTTCCAATGGCAGATCCACTGCAGGCCACAGAGAGATGATGACAGGTGGGGGGACTAGTGGTGGGGAACTTCCTTCTTCCGTTGTCCTGGCCCTTCCCCAGACCCTCCTCTATCCCCTGAGACAGAGGTTCAAGGGCAGCCTCAATAAGAACAGTCCACAGTAGCCATAAAAAGGAATGAAGGAAAGCTCATGTTTATGGGGGCGGGACAGAGAAGCCTGTTGGTCCCCTTGATGATCCATGGCAAGAGCTAGGCATGTCTCTTCAGCATCTGGGCTGTGGGGACATGTCTGTGTCCCAGGGATGGAAATATCCCCATGTATGAAGAGAACTCATACAATGCAATGTCCTGCATGTTTAGTGAAATAAACCAAACTGCACATGCTCCCAACTGCAAGGCAGCTGCTGTCTGCTCTCCTCGGAAGGCAGCAGGGAGCTGAGCTAGGAATCGGGAAATTTGGGATTCAAGTACCACATTAGAACCTCCCAGCCCACTCCACAAAAAGGTGTGACGATCAGTCAGGCATCTGTGTGTGAGAAAGTCTTTGGATATTGACAAAATATCAATAGTGCTCTGAGGACCACTAGAAGTGTCACCACTCTGCCTGGGCTGGCTTCAGCACCCACGGACTCCCAGGCACGTACCTGTCCCAGTTCACAGGTGTGCACACCATGGAGTATACACCCGGGTGTGCATCATTGGACCAGGCTTTAGATATACTTGGCCCCCTCCAGCCTACATTTCCTGCAGGTGCTCGCATCTCCCTCTGTTCCCTTCCCAGGGAACATTGCACCATGGTCCCAGTGGTCACTGCAGCCCTTTCTGTCTTCCTTAAATAGGAAACCTGGCAGAGAAGCAGCCCCTTCGGCAGCCTCAGATCATCACTTCCTATGATAACCAAGGTAAGTGACTCATCGCTGGCCGTGGCTTCTTTTGTGGCTGTGTGCCTGGACCTGCTGCCCAGCCAGGGAGCCCAGAGTGTAGAGATCAGACTTTGGGGGACAGCTCCTCTCTGAGCAATGGAAGGTGGAGCATCCTTTTGTCTCCCAGCATCCCAGAGGAAGCGCTGAGAGGCTGTATGGTCCAGATCGGCCCTTCACCTGCAATCCAGAAATGAAATCCTTGGGTTGTGGATCCCATCACTATCAACATTGTCAGCACTGTGAAAAAAGGTCACAGCGTACTAACCATGTATCGGGAACTCTGCAAACCCATTCACGCACTTATTCTCATGTCCATTAAGTTCCACAGCAATCCTACTTGGGCGATACACCTCATTTTACAGATGAGGACACAAGGCTTAGAACGATTGTCAGCAAGCATCAGAGCCAGCACTCTGACCCCTTACTCTCCACCCCCCCAGCAAGGTCTCAGTTGCTCACCGTCACACAACTGGGTTTCCACAGCTCCCTGGAAACTGATCCCTTGCTGGCTCACAGTGTCCAAGTCCTCCCGTGTCCCTGAGTCACAGAGGTTCTTTGCCCTCTCTTGAAACTGACCCTGCTGAGGAATCCCACTTAGTGCTGAGTCTGCTGCAGCAAGGTGAAGTGATTAGGCCCTTCGAAAATCCTCACTTTCTCAAGACAGGATCTGGATGCTTGGAAATGGCAGGCCAGGACATCATCAGACTGACTGCAGTTGTCTGGATCTGAGAACATGATGGGGTAGAGACAAGGGTTCCTAAGTCACCCCTGGGGGTGGGCCTGGTTAGAGATCTCCTATTCCCAGGTGGTTAATTGCTCTTTGTTAGATGTCTGAGCGCTCTCAAAAGCTAAGCAGAAAGTTTGCTGCCATTTATCTTAGCACTGATGCTCAAACCTGCAAGGAAATTAGGCAATGGTATCTGGGGGCACAGGTACCCCTCCTCCTCCTGTATTGGAAGGCTCCGGGAGTTCCAGGACCTCTAGGAGAAATGCTTTCTGCAGTTCAGCTGACCTTCACAAAAAGGACAGGGAGGGAAGAAGGACCAGTCAACTGGGGCCACAGCATGAGGGATCCAGCTCTCTGCAGTCTGCATCAGTGCCACTTGTGGCCAGAATTCCTAGAAATGCCATCCAGGACTGGCCCCAGAGTCCCCTTCATGGATTCGCCAACACTGGGACCTGCCAGAAACACAAGGGGCGACCCAACCCCAGATATGCTGCTTCTGTTATCGACTTAGCTGCACAAGGCTCACCACAAAACAAAACTCAGAGATGCTCTGCTAGAAAGAGAGAGGCTGAGCAACCACCTATCTCATAAAAGAAAGGCTCCTGGCCTGTGGAGCTGATGTCTTAGGGAGGAGAGAAGGGAGCTAACTTGACTATCAAGATACTGCCAGTCAAGGCTGAAGGAGAAAGTAAAGCAGGCAGGATGAGGGAAGGAGAGTTATAGATCAGTTTCCAATGACTGCTATGACACTCTTCTACACAGTTGATGGCTGAGAACAACACCAAGTTTTTGCCTTAAGCTTCTGGATGTCAGAAGTCCGAAGTCAGCTTCACGGGGCCAGAGTCAAGTGTCAGCAGGCTTGGGTGCTTTTGGAAGCTCTGGGGGAAAATCCATTCCTTGCCTCCTTCTGCTCTTGCAGGCTGCCAGCATTTCTTGGCTTATGTCTGTGTCATCCCAGTCTCAGCTTCCTGCCTTCTCTCCTTATAAGTAGCCAGATCCCTCCCTCGGTCCCCCTCTTATAGAAGGCAACATTATTAGGTTCCAGAGACTCTACACCAATATCCAGAAAGATCATTTATTTGGTTCAAGGCAAGGAACAATTGAAAATAGAGCAGGTGGGGCCAGAGGTGGAGTTCAGTAGCAGAGTGCTTAGCTAGCATGCAGGAGGCTCTGATTTGATTTCTAGTACTCCATTCCCCACACCCCTAAAAAAGAATAGGTGAATGAAACCTCACTAATAAGGTAATATCTGAGCAAGGAAGGAGATGTGAACAAGCATAAGGACATCTAGGTCAGAGCTTAGAGAGACTTGGCATGAAGTCACCAGGCAGGTGGATATGGAGAGTGGGTGGCTGTGGCCAAGGGAAAGGGGCATGGGCAGGATAGGAAGTAAAAGGAGAGTCAGAGAGGACTCAGGACAGAACTCACAGGGACTGAAGGTTACCCTCGGTGTGCTGGCTTCTAACCAGAGCACTGTCAAGACATTAGATGGTTTTAGACACGATGCCACCAGTGGGTGGGCAATAACCAGAAAGGGGAAATGTTGTGGTCCTGTTATCGATCTAAGGGTTATGGTTGGGTTTGTTTTCTCCACCAAGAATCACATCCATATACACAGGAAGAAAAGTTCTCCACAAGTGGAGAGGGAACTTCAAAACCAAAAACTCCAAAGCCCCCCAGAGGGTTTGGGCCTTTTAAGTGGTTTTGCTGTTATGGGGTAGGTCCTCCTCCCCTAATTTTAGATTGGTCAATTTAAATAACGGAGAGAGTCGGTAGGTCACAGCTCTAAGCTGAGTGAAATAGTCTGGTCTGGCCTTGGTCTTTTCTAAACTGGTCTCGACCAGTTAGCCAGAAAAGGGACCTTGCCATCAGGAGGAAAAGTTTTCTCAGATCAAGAAGAAGCAGGAAGTGTGCCATCTTTATTTGTCATTAGTGACCCTGTTGTTTATTGGAGATTTAGTTCCTTACAGGAGACCGGAACAAGAAGTCTCCTGGGGGAGGTTTCATGATATCCAGGCAAGATGTCTTCCTATGTTGTGGATTTGGGGTATAAGGAAGGAAGGATGAGTCAAGGATCGGGGGTAAGCAGCAGGAAGGAAGAGGTCGAAGGGGAGCAAACTAAGAGAGAAACAAGAATTCAGACTTGGCTCTGTTGAGACCTGGGAAGCATCACTGTTTGTGTGCTGCTTGCCTAGTCATCCTGCCAGCCTTGAACTCCTCAGGCCGTGTTCTGTAGCTCCCATCAGCCCCAGTGCAGCTTTCTGTCACAACCACAGCATAGAGCAGACATAGAATGCATGGCATGCGCCAGACATTGAGCTAAGCACCGCAACCACATTCCATGGAAAGTTATCTCACAAAAATTTCCCCACATAATAGATGGAGAAATTGAGGCTCAGGGGCTCTAAATAGCTTGCCTGAAGTCATACAGCTAGATAGAACATGGCAGAACCGATAGTTGACCCCATGTCTGTATCCCCAAAGCCAGTGGTCTTAACTTCTGTATCACACTGCTTCCCCTATACAGGGCAGGGACTGTGCTAGTGGGATTGCCTCAGATACAACCTCCCTGATAAGAAAGCCACGGTTTCAGCCACAGCTTCTTGCTCAGAATGGGTCAGCCTTTCCCCTCTTCCACAACATGCTGTCCAGTGGTAGATTTTACACAGAAAATAACAAAAAGCATAGTAGAAACTTGGATCTTCATATGAAGTGACTTCAGAAGATGAACCTATAGTGGGTGTGTGGGTCCAACAACAGGAGAATGATTGTTAGGAGACCCTGTGACTTCAAACCCTGAAGGTTACTAATGGGGAGTCAGTTTTCCTTTGGAGTTCCTGCCCTACCAAGTCCTCAGCCCTTGCCTCATACAAACATGATGATCCTGAATAGGGCAGCCTTCTTCATTCATGCACGCACTAGAATCAACCTGCCATATTTCCCAACCTGGAACTTCCCATGGAGCTCCATCCTGCAGAAGGAATTGTGAATGGTCCTGTGTATTTGAGAGTGGAGGTCATGGGCAGTTACAAGGGGAAAAAACACAGCATCACACATAGCAGTAGCCATCCAGATGGGTTCATCCCTGACCTGTGACACTCTTCCTGTCATCTCATAAACACAGTGGTAGCTTGTGTACTGAATGTGGCAGTACCCAGGAGTAGTAATACCCTGTTGATGTCCCACAGAGCTACACAGTCCTCTCACAACCTACCATGCTTGTTCCCAGGATGTCCTAGCTCACCACTCCCTGACTGCTACCCCCTGTGCAGAAGTACAACATGCCTCTGTTGAATGCCACAGCACACACGCTTTGTTTAAGAGTGCTTTTATTTTTATAAAGATTTTATTTATTTTATTTTATGTACATGAGTGTTTGCCTGCATATATGTAAGTGCACCACATGTGTGCCTGGTACTTGCAGAAACCAGAAGAGGGCATCAGATCCACTGGAACTGGAATCAAGGATGGTTGTTAGCCATGATGTGGATGCTGGAAACTGAACCTGGGTGGTTGGCAGGGGCAGCCCGGGCTCCTAACCACTGAGGCATCTCTCCAGCCCCATACCTTCATTATTTAATATTCTCAATGGCCCAACACAGTGGGTATTGGGCACATGGTATGATAGGAGACTGAGGACCACAGAGTTGAATTGTTTACCTGTGGCCACACTTTAGGTCAGAGGCAAGGCTGGATTGAGACCCCAAAGCCCTAGTTCTTTACCTGTCACCAGCACCTTAAAGGTGGGAGGTTGATACCTATCCAGTCATGGGGGAAATTCAAGTGTTCAGTACTCTAAGAAGCTGCAAAATGCTGGGTCTCATCCCACTAAATAGGACGATCTGCTTCTAATTATAGGACCTCCTAGAGTCTTTAACACCATGCACAGCATTGCATGATGCCATTTGAGTGTGATACTTTGATAAGGATACAGGGAAAGGAACACTGGTTGCTGCTGCTATTGTACAACATATGAAAAGGTTTCCAGGAACTTCTGAGGCTGCTGAGCTATGGAGTCTGCCTAGGCCATGCACCAGGTTGCTGCCCAGGAGTCCAGCATCTAGGTGCCACTAGTGCCATCTACCACCTGAACAAATGTTTGCTTCTCTGCCCAAGCCCTGTGGATTTCAGGATTCTTCCTGCTGGCTTCTAATGTGAGACTGAACATTTAAAAAGGCAGCCACTTGTTAAAAATCCATAAAATCAAATCCTGGGCACCAGCCTTAGGACAGGTGAATAGTTAGCACATTAG